TTTGTGCCAGGCACTGTACTAAGCGCTTTACAGCTATTACCTCTTTTAATGCTCACAACAATCCTTATTATGATCCCCATTCTGCCGTGGAGGAAACTGAGACAGACATAGATTAAATTACACAGCTAGTAAGTGTCTGAGACCATATTTGAGCTAGAGTGTTCTTGACTGCAGGCTAGCTCTCTATCCACTTTGCACATCTACATTTTAATTTGCATAGTAGTTATTTATGTCTTTATCATCCCTTTCTACTAAACTAAAATATGGGATTGTGTCTTATCTTTTCTTTTTTTTTTTAAAAAAATTTGTTTAGGTACCTACGTGGTGCAGTAGATAGAGTACTGGGCTTATAAGACTTTAATGCATAAGCTCAAGTCCAGCCTCAGACATTTACTAACTGTGTGGCCCTGGCCAAGTCACTTAACCTCTGCCTGCTTCAGTTTCCTCAACTGTAAATTGGTGATAATAACAGGACCTATCTCCCCTGGTTATTGTGAGGGTCAAATGAGATAATATTTGTAAAGTGCTTAGCATAGTGCCTGGCACATAGGAGGCGCTAAATAAATCCTTTTCCCATACAATATCTGGTCCAGGGACCTGAATGATACGAGCTTAAAATTTGTTATTTTTGTTGAATGAATTCCACTTGTGTAAGACAGTGGTAACAACTCACATTTGTATAACTGCGATTTCCTCACAACAACACCATGAAGTAGGTGCTGTGAATACTAATATTCCTACTTTAGATATGAGAAAACTGAAGCTCAGAGGGATTGACCTCTGAGACTTGTCCCAGGTAACACAGCTGCCTAGAATTACTACTACAGGACAACAGCCTCACTTTCCTTGTGCAGACTCAGCCTTTGACACATTAAGTTAAAGAGGCTTTTTTTTCAGGCATTAAATTTCCTGAAAGTGGCAAGAAAACTACTTCAGTCAGCTAAGCTGGACTCTTGATTTTGTGGGGTAAAAATAGCAGGTTCCTACCCATTGTGTCTTCAGGAAAAACTGGATGAGTCTTTGTTGGGGATGTTGTGGAGGGCATTCTAAGCAGATGGCCTCCAAGGCCCCATCAGATAGAATGTGAATGCCCTTGAAGGCAGGAACTGGTTGTTTTGTTTTGTTTTGTTTTTGCCTTTGTATCTCCAGCAGCTACCACAGAGCCTGGCACACAACAGGAGCTGAATATGTACTTGTTAATTGATTCCAGCTCTGAGACTCTGTTTTTGTGATGCTGTTATTGGCCTTGAGTTTTCTCTTGCCAGCTAATTATTATTGAAGGTGACTTCCCAGCTGAGCATTCTTTTGTTTGTTTGTTTAAGAATGTTGTCTTTAGTTGAATTAGCTCTTCTAATTGTTAGTAAAGAAAATTGCTTCAGGCCTAACTGGTTTTTATCTTTGATGTGTCCTAGGCTTTGATTGCACCTACACAAATGATGTCTTGTGAAAACCTTGAAGGTGTTTCTGACTCAAAATTAGAATAGTGTGTGAACTGCCATTCCTCCAAAGGCTGTTTAACTCTTTATTAAAAGATATTAGGCAATCACTTGTATTAATATGTATCACAAAGGAAAATTAGGCAGGAAAGTAAGCATGTGAAGAAAAACATTCATCAACTCCTTGAAAAATATGTTTAAGGTTAGCATGTATTTTCAAAGGCCAGGGTGGTATAAATAATGAACTTGGAGTCAGGAGGCTTGGTTTTGAGTCTGGGCTATGCCACTTACCAGCTTTTTTACTTCAGACAAGTCACTTAACCTTTCTGAGCCTCAGTTTTCTCATCTGTAAAATGTGGTTGATAGTACATACACTACCCTTTCTTCAGAGAAGCTAAAAAGTATCATAGAAATGCAGTCAATGAGGTGGCACAGTTATGGTTAGTATATGGGATTTGGAGTCAGGAAGACTTGAGTTCCAATCCTGCCTCAGATACTTACTATGTACGTGACTCTGGGTGATTCATTTAACCTGGGTCAACCTCAGCTTCCTCAACTGTAAAATGGAGATAATAATAGTATCTACTTCATAAGATTGTTGTGAGGATCAAAGAATTAAAATATGTAAAAGTTGGGGCAGCTAGGTGGCGCAGTGGATAAACCACTGGCCATGGAGTCAAGAGGACCTGAGTTCAAATGCGGTCTCAGACCAGACACTTGATACTTACTAGCTGTGTGACCCTGGGCAAGTCACTTAACCCCAATTGCCTCACTAAAAATAAATAAATAAATAAAATATGTAAAAGTGCTTTGCAAATCTTAAAATGCCACATAAATGTTAGCCAACATTATTATTGCTACTAAGCTCTCAGCCCCTTTGAAATATCAATTAATAGGAAACAAGGTGAAGAAAAGACCTTATTTGACTCCACAGACCGCAAGGTCTTTTCTTTCCAGAGTTAGATGACAATGGAGATTTTTTAGTGGGATCTTTTAGAAGACATCTTTGCAGTATAATGTGTACCTTGCCAGAATTGTATACCCACTGTTCCTAATCTTAAAAAACAAAAACAAAAACAAAAAACAACTAGTAATGAAAAGAACCTCAGTGTTATACCTACAAGTTAAGATCTCACGACCCATCTTTCTGTGCCACATTTTCTATAATAATAATAGCTAACTTTTATATAGTACTTATTATTTGCCAGGCATTGTGCTTTTTGTGCCCTTTGTAATTATTATATCATTTCATCCCAACAAACAACCCTGGAAGGTAGGTGCTGTTATCTTCTGTACCTAATAGATGAAGAAACTGAGGCAGACAGAGGTTAAGTTACTTCCCCAGGGTCATACCAGTAGCAGTAGTAGTCATAGTAGTAGCTGACATTTATATAGGGTTTACTATATGCCAGAAACTGTGCTAAGTGCTCTACAATTATTATCTCATTTAATCCTTATGACAACCCTGAGAGGTAGGTGCTATTATTATCTCCATTTTCAGACAAAGAAACTGAGGCAGACAGAGGTTAAGTGACTTCCTCAGGGTCACACAGCTAGTACGAGAGGCTGCATTCCGAACTAAGGTCTTCCCACTCTAGGCCAAGCAATCTATCTACTTCGCCACCTAGTTGCCTTATTTTCCACATACAACTTTGTTGTCAACAACTCTATGAAGTAGGTATTGCAAACGTTATTCTCTCCTTCTTAAAAGTGATGAAACTCATCCTCTGAATAGTGAAGTGAGTTACCCAGGATCAGAGATAAGTGTCAGAGCCAGGATTCAAAATCCAGCTTCTTGACTTCCACTCCACAAGCTGTCTGTAAATGGCAGAGCAGTGTGCCACGGTACCCAGCAATATTTTACAATTCAATTCAACAAATGTTTATTATGGCCATGGATTCAGTGGAGAGCCCTGTGCTAGGAGAATAGAAAGATAACAAAGTTTGGTCAGTATAGTTAACCCCAAAGGCATCTTTTGCTTGTGGATAGCGTTTAAAATTAACTCATTAAGTAGAGACTGATTGGTTGGAGAGATTGGTAATGAGATTAGAGTGCTTCAGATTACAGCAGGTCACCTGGTAGTCTTCTCTGCATCTTTCACCCTGGGTCAGTAGTGTCCCCTCTTCCTTCTTTAAGATGGCTGTGTGTGGGGGGGGGGGGGGGGGGGGGGGGGGGGTCTGTAAATCAAAAGTGTTCCAATTAGCCTCCTAGAAAGCCCTTCAGGGATACTCCCTGGCTCCTTCTCCCTTTCTTGCCTCCTTCTGTGTGTTGGCTCTTGCCATTAGATCGTAAACTCCCTGAGTTTACGATCCAATGGGATAAGGGACTGTCTTTCTTTTTATTAATTGTATTTCCTTTGCTTAGCACAGTGCCTGGCACACAGTAGGTTCTTCATAAATGTTTATTGGATTGGATTGAATTGGACTCTTGGAAATCCCAACAGGAATTCTAAGAGATTTTTTTTTTTTTTACCATAATCACAATGGAGTTCATTTGGGGTAGGTTTGTGTATTCTTTCTGATCAAGAAAAAAGCACAAACTTATTTAATCTAGTTTCAAGTCTTCCCTGGTTCATTAGTGTCTCTGTATGCCTAAGGTGGCTAGAGGACTGACTTCTTAAGCAATTGGCTGTTTGTTGGTATTATTTTTAATAGAAAACCCTCACTTTTGTTTATCAGGTCTTATAATGAGTCTTGCTTCTTGTATAATTACAGCTGGTTTATTAAGCCTATTTTCTGCCTCATGTTTTCTTTCTGTAAAATGAACATAAAGATATAACCTTCCTCAACTATGACTGTTTATTGGGCACCTTAGAATATGCTTACAGCCCAGCTTCGGTAGGTGAAAAACAAAGACTGTCTTCAAGGAAGTTACAGTTATAACTGCCCATTGTTCTAATGAGCACCGGAGAGAGACAGAAAACTAGGTTTCAAATCCCTGCTTTGTCTCAGTGTGACCTTGGGCAAGTTACTTAATTTCTCTGGTCTCCTTATACTCACTCACTAAAGACAGGGGTTCTTAACCAGGAATCCATGAATGTGGCTCCCTCCCCCTTTTTTTTTTCCTAACTATATTTCAGTATAATTGATTTCTTTTGTGTGCCTTCATATTCATCTAGTTTATGCATTTAAAACCCTTATTCTCAGAAGAGGTCCAGAGGCTTCAATAGACTGCCAAAAGGGTCCATGACACATAAGAAGTTTAAGACTTTCTTCTCAAAAGTCTTTTCTAGCTCTAAACAGAATTGTTTTGAGGTTTACAGAGCACTTTGCTTACAAATATAAATAGTGTTAAGTCATTTTACCACCAGATGAACAATAATTTGTACCCAGGGCTACTGACTCCAAGCCCTGTATTCTTCTCCTTATCTCATGCTGATATCTTGTATTTACATATGAGAACTTTGAAAGGTTTGCAAAACATTTCTTCTCCAAGCCCCTCAAAAAAGGCAATCATTCAAATAATAAGCATTTATTAAGCAGTGCTATGGTGTTGTGCTAGCTGCTGGGGATATACAGAATGAAAGATTTCTTAATCCAGGTAATATTCTACCAATTTTACAGATGTGGGAACTGAGCCTCAAAAAAACGAAGTGATGTGCCACATCCCTAGCAAGTATCAGAGCAGAAACCAAGTCTCCTGAATCCAGGCCCTGTGCTTGTCCCCACTTACATGACCTCTTCAACTGGGGAGACAGACCTAACAGGTATGAAGCTATTAGACAGCAGCACAAGATAACACAGTCTGTGATTAGTGACCAAATGTGTGTCACAGATCATTTTCGTGGCTTATTATGGGACTAATTGGTAGGTTGACACAGAAGAAATAATGTCTAAGTAGGGAGAGGATATGGCCTGGAAGAAGGATTAACTTCTTCCTTTCCTGGTGTTTGTGGCCTTTAATAAAGCTGTCTATCTGAAAGATACCAATCTAGAGATGTCTGGTCCAATTCTTTCATTTTATGGGTGAGAAAAGTAAGGTCAAAATAGATTAAGGAGATGTTTAAATGTCCCACAACTCGCTAAATGGTCGAGTTAGTCAGTGTTACTCATTCTTCAAATACTTTGTCACTATACCAGGGGTGGGGAATTTGCATATAGACCCAGAATATATTTCTTGGCTAAATATTTTATAGAAAGGGCACAGTGTTTCAGGGGGCACGGAGGGAGGGAGTTGTTAGGAGGAGGAAGAGGAGTAAAAGAAGAAAGAGAGAGGATGTAAGCCATCACTCCTGGTTAGATAGCTTGTTCATGAAGAAAGGTGAGGGTCTGGAGAGCACACCGGACCTGGAGTCAGAAGAGACTGCTTCTAATTGGAACTGACATTAACTAGCTTCCTCATCAGTAAAATGGATGTACAACTCTCACAGACTTTGTTGTAAGGCTTAATGAGGTGTCTGTGTAAAGGGCCATCTAAATATTAGCTATAATATAAGCCCTTTGAGGCAAGGGACTGCTTACTTTGGTCTTTGCATTCTAGTGCCTAGCATAGAGTAGAATCTTAATAAATGCTTGTTGACTTAAAAAATTCTTTATTTCATTAAATATTTCCTAATTACATATAAAAAATTTAGCATTCATTTTTTAAAACTTTGAGTTCCAAATTCTCTTCCTCTTTCCTGTCCCTCCCTCACCCATTGAGAAGGCAAGCAATATGATATCGATTATACATACGAGGTCATGCAAAATGTATTTCCATATTAGCCATGTTGCAAAAGAAAATACACACAGAACAAGAAAATAAGTTTTTTAAACAGGCATGCTTTAATGTGCATTCAGACTTAATCAGTTTTCTCTGTGGAGGTGTATAGTATTTTTCATCATGGGTCCTTTGGACTTGTCTTAGATTACTCATTGTCTTGATCAGAGTAGCTATATCTTTGATAATCAATCATATTTACAATATTGCTATTACTGTGTGCAGTGTTCTCCTGATTCTACTCACTTCACTTTGTATCAGTTCACACAAGTCTACCCAGGTTTTTTCTGAAACCATCTTGATCATCATTTTTTATAGTGCAATAATATTCCATCATAATCATATACCACAACTTGTTCAGTCATTCTCCAATTGATGGGCATCCCCTCAATTTCCAATTCTTTGGCACCACAAAAAGAGCTGCTCTAAATATTTTTGTACAGATAGGTTCTTTTCCCTTTTCTTTGATCTCCTTGGGATGCAGAACTAGTAGTAGTACTGCTGGGTCAAAGGGTAGGCATAGTTTTTTAGCCCTTTGGGTGTAATTCCAAATTGTTCTCCAGAATGGTTGGATCAGCTCACAACTCCACCAACAGTCCATGAGTGTCCCAGTTTTTCCACATCCTTGCCAGCATTTGTCATTTTTCTTTTCTGTCATGTTAGCCAATCTGGTATGTGTGGAGTTGTATTTCAGAGTTGTTTTTATTTGCATTTCTGTAATCAATAATTGTTTAGAGTATTTTTCATGTGATTATTAATAGCTTTGATTTCTTTTTCTGAAAACTGCCTGTTCCATATCCTTTGATCATTTATCAGTTGAAGAATGGTTCATATTTTTATAAACTTGGCTCAATTCCATATGTATTTGAGAAATGAGGCTTTTATCAAATAAACTTGCTGTAAACATTTTTCCCAGTCTCTTGTTTTCTTTCTAATTTTGACTGCATTAATTTTGTTTGTGCAAAATCTTTTCAATTTTATGTAATCAAAATTTTCCATTTTACTTCCCATGATCTTCTCTATCTGATGTTTGGTCATTAACTCTTTCCTTATCCATAGATTTAACAGGTACATTTTCTCATGCTTCCTTAATTTACTTATGACATCACTATTTATGTCTAAATCATTTATCCATTTTGACTTTATCTTGGTAGACCATATGAGATGTTGGGCTATGCCTAGTTTCTGTCAAACTGCTTTCCAGTTTTCCCAGCAATTTTGTCAAATGATGAGTTCTTACCTCAAAAGTTTGGATCTTTGGGTTTATCTAACACTAAATTACTTTGGTCATTTGTTACTATTTATTGTGTACCTAATCTATTCCACTGATCCTCTACTCTATTTCTTAGCCAGTACCAGATTATTTTGATGATTACTGCTTTGTAATATAGTTTGAAATCTAGTTCTGCTATGTTGTCTCCCTTCACATTTTTTTTCATTGATTCCTTTGATATCTTGACCTTTTTTTTTCCAGATGAATTTTGTTACTGTTTTTCTAGCTATATAAAATAATTCTTTGGTAGTTTGATTGGTATGGCACTGAATAGGTAAATTAAGGTAGGTAGAATTGTCATTTTTGTTACATTGGCTCAGTCTACCCATGAGCAATTAATATTTCTCCAATTGTTTACATCTATTTTTATTTGTGTGAAGAGTGTTTTGTATTTGTGTTCATATAGTCCCTAGGTTTGTCTTGGCAGGTAGACTCCCAAGTATTTTATATTGTCTGCAATTATTTTAAATGGGATTTCCTTTTCTATCTCTTCCTGCTGTGTTTTGCTGGTATTAAATAGAAGTGCTAATGATTTATATGGATTTATTTTGTATCTTGCAACTTTGCTGAAGTTATTAATTATTTCAGGTAGCTTTTTAGTTGATTTTCTAGGGTTCTCTAAATATACCATCGTATCATCTACAAAGATTGATAGTTTGTGTTCTTTTTGCCTATTTTTATTTCTCCAATTTCTTTTTCTTGCCTTACTGCTATAGCTGGCATTTCTGACACAATATTGAATAATAGTAGTGATAATTGGTATCTTTGTTTCATCTCTAATCTTACTGGGAAGGCTTTAAGTTTAGTGCCATTACAGATGATGCTTGCTCTTGGTTTTAGATAAATGGTACTTATCATTTAAAGGTTCCATTGATTCCTCTACTTTCTGGTGTTTTTGGTAGGAATGGATATTGTATGTTGTCAAAAGCATTTTCTGCATCTAGTAATGCTTGTCGGCTGCTAGATTGTTACTACTCCTGTGACTAGCTAAATCCCTTAAACTCTCTTAACCTTAATTTACTTATGTGTAAAAATGGAGATTAAACTTCTACTATGTGTATTCCTCCCAGGATTACTATCAATTCAAAAAAAGACTTTGTAAAAATTAAAGCTACTAATATAGCAAAGAGAGGGAAATATGAAAAAAGTGGAAGAAGTCAAAATGTGGAGGTTCCGTCTGATATTATCCTTAGGGATGATCATCCTCTTTGGTAATCTATAACTGTTGGGTTTAGTTGGTACTTTGGAGGAGAACAGGGTCTTTCCTGTCATTTTATGCAATAGGGTATAGTAGAAAGACTGTTGTATTTAGACTCAGGTATTCTGGGTTTGAATTCTGGCTCTGATGATTGCTAGCTGTGTAACCACCAGCAAATCATTTCTCAGACCCTGAGTTTCCTCAGTTGTAAAGTGGGGATAATAATAATAACAATAATTTGAATATGTTAACTTGCATGCATCTTTATAAAGTCAAAGATCCCTAAAGGAATGAAGATAAGTAAATGCTCCGTGGAGCTGTTATTACTCTTTTATTACAGTACTGTGTTTGATAGTACAAGCGTCAGTGGCAGAGGAAATGCTGATTTAGCCAGTATAAATGGGTATCTATTCTGAGAGTTAGAAGGCATGTGTTATGAAATGGGTGGTGCTGGTTTTACTGTCTAATGTGGTAAACCCTTGGGTCACAGCATTTGGATTTCATGGGAAACATCTTGTGTATAAGGATGATTGAAGAAGGGGGTTGATGAAAATATTGTTGTCTGAGAGGGGGTTAAATTTTTTTTTTAAGGCATGATAGTACTTTTTAAAAGTCTGGATAAAGCTTTTTTTTTTTTTCTAATGAGTTGGTTGCTTTTGACCCTTCTCCCTTTCAGTGCTCACTCCCATCTCCTTATTCCTGCCCCAGTCGAAAGATTTAGATTGGAATAGCCCCTAATTTAGAGCTAACTCTTTCATTTCACCAATAAGGAAACTGAGGCCTGTTGAGTTTAAGTTAGTTGCATTAAATCACCCGGGCTGTAAGTAACATTTGAGCCCTTCTTTCCACTCACCCACCTACTGTTTTAATTCAAGCTCTCATCACCTCTTGCCCAGATTATTGCAACAATAGTCATCTGCCTCCAGCCTTTCACTACTCATTTCTCCTATGGGCTTTTGCCAAAATACTTTTCCTTAAGTATATATTTATGTAACCCCTCTACTCAATCCACTCCAGTGATTCTCTAGTGCCTTTAGGTTAAAACATAAACTCCTTTGTTTTCTAAATTTTTGGAGCTTTTCACAACATGGCCCCAATCTATTTTTTTATTCCCATTGGAGGGAACCACTGCTCCCACGTTCTGCCATCTAGCCAAACTGTCTTTCTCTCTTGTCCCTCACATATAATACTCAAGCACTATCTTTTGCATGAAGCTATATCTGAGCTCCCCAATAGCTGGTGCTCTCTCTTCTCCCAAAAAACCTTGTATGGAACTACTTTGTGTATGTTTGTATTTACTTAACAACAAAAAACCCAACAACAACAATATTTAGTCAGTATATATTTGTATTTGAACATCTCGTCTCCCTAGTTAGAATAGAACGTATGGTCTGTAGGGATTATTTCATTTTTTTTTTTTGTATTTGTTTACCTGGCAAGCACCATGTCTGGTATACAGTAAACATTTAAAAATATCTGTTGATTGATTGATTATAAGAAGCAGAGCGAAGATCTGAAACCCAGGTTCTTTGATCCC